GCATTAAAAACACGCTCACCTTCAACGAAATTTCCTTTCCGAGGCTTTGTGTCAGCCCAATCACATATTGTGTCAATACTTATCATTTTATCGTAATTTAAAAACTTGGAAATTGCACGGTACACTATAGGAACTACGATAAATTTTCCCTAATCGGCGCCATGTTTTTAGGCTCCTCCCATTTGACGGATCCTAATAGTTCCCTGCATTTTTATGTTTACGTAGATTGTAATTTAATGGCATGGAGAAACAAAACGTTAATTTTATAATTTTTAGTCTAATAAGCGTATCTTTGGGGTCTCCGAATGTTCATAAATGGCAATATTGTTAAGCCACGTCTTTGTTTAGAGAAAAAGTGAAAAATACCTGCACTGTTTTGTTTTTTTCGGTATAAACATAAATAAGTCTTTGTTCCACAGCACTCGTTCTTTGGGGAATCCATGCGCAAACCACAACTCAATAGTATGCATTGTATTTCAAGTTTTCCTCCGGCTAAATTAGAAAACCTCTGTAAACTCTCAGTGGCTGATGCATGCTGCATATTTCAAAGGCTCCTGCGACGACCGACAGCAATTTCTCACCGTCACGTCTCTTTACATTAACCCCCTATACGAGGTCCGACAAAACGGGACTTTTTCGGTTCTTCCAATTATAAGTCTTTAAATAAAATATTGGTGGAATTGGAATCTGGTTTTTTATAAACTTGTAACCAAGAATGTCTGCCCTGGTTGGGAAACTTATCTACCTACTTATCACATATCAGAAAATTTCGTAACGAACCTAATAAAATCAGGGACGTAGTCAACGTTTTTCTTAATGGGTCAAGGGTTGGCTACACAGTTGTAGATTTTAAGTTCCATGCACCTTAAAACGCCTTCAGTTCTGTAAAAATGGCATTATAAAACCACAAGTATTCATATAATCCCACATAAAAGAAAATGCCTAGAGTTTCATAATACGAGGGTGGATTGATAAGTTTCCGGCCTGACCAAGAAAAACAAGGTTTTTAAAAATTTTTTTTTTTTATTTCTCAACATAATCTCCTCCAAGGCTGATANAAGGATATGAACAAGTAACACAATTAGTATGTTTTATAATATTTTAATCTAAATAATGAAACTACCGCTTTTTTGTTGCCAATTGCTAAATATCCGCTCCCTGGAGATATATTCATAGCCGTGATATATCCCATCTTAGCGCCAAACGTAGGAAAATTACTAAAAACAGTTCCTGATTCTACATGCAGTATGCGCACAGAATTTTCAATATTTTCTGAAGAAAGAGCAAGTATTTCAGACGTACTGTTAAAAGAGAGGTCTTTTATACTTGTAGTTAAATTAAGGACACTTTTCCTGGGTTGGGGTATTGTTTTATTTAGTACTTCGCTCATTTCATAAAGATTAACAACACCTTGACAGGAACCAGTTGCGATATATTGATTATTTGGAGATATAATAAGGGAAGATCCTTGGATACACCCTTCATCAATCCATTTGTGTTGAACTCTTTGCATTCTCATGTCCCATATAGTTACTTCACCCATCACACTGTGACCAAAGAGTAAATTGCCCTTTGTATTGAAACTCAATGCAGCAATTTCTGAATTTTGTTTCAAAGTAAATAATTTTTCTTTTGATTTGCTAGAGAGTACATGTATTTCTCCCCATTTACTTGCTACAGCTAAACACTTTTCATCAGGTGATACTGTAAACTTTTTACATTGTGTAAGGCCATATGGTAAAGGTACCCTTAAAACTTTAGCAGAAATCAAATCATAATTATAAATAAAAGGATGTCTTGAACCCAAAACAGCTTCATTGCCATTCTGAAGGAATTTGGCACAAAATACTGGAAACTGCTGGAAAGAAACATTGTGTAACTTTTTATTTTCTTTTCCATCAACTGCATACAATGTAGCAACACCAGAATTACCAGCTACAAGTGCTACACTCGATGTAGGATGAAATTCTATACAATTAATAATTCCTTCAGCATACGTTTCTGCATTTAAGTCTTTGAGTTTTTTAAATTCCAATGTAGTTGGTGGTAATGTTTGAGGTACGACTTTTTTTAGAAATCCACATGTTTGATTTATTTCTTCATCTGAATCTGAGTCCACCTTCTTTCTTTTCAAAGATGCCCATTTTGGGTCCCCAACTACAGTCTTAAATTTTTGTTGTAAAAGCTCTGAGTACTTATTTGAGCGCTTGTTAATTCCTCCATTAGGGAGTTTTCTACCTTGAGCATTTAAAGCTTGACCAACCAAAATATCATCGTCTTCATCTACCCAAGCTGGTTTTCTTTCTAACTCTTCAAAATAATCACTATCTACGTCTTCATCACCAACACCAGAGTCAAAGTTTGAAGATTCTGGAGAAGTTGAAGTTTGTGCCTGATTTAGCTCGTTTTCAGCTTCTTCCAAACTTTTTAATAGATTTGTATCGTAACCGAAAAGTATGTTTGACAAATGTTTTTCTTCCGCTCGTGCTCGATTATCAAACGGCCTGAAATTGTTTCTAGGCGCTAATACATGAACTTCAACTTCAGCTGAAGGATTGTGTTTCCGTTTTTTGTTTAAATTTGGCATTGCCTTTTATTTGAAATAAAATATTAACAATAAAGTATGATATAAAACTCTATCATGCACTTTATAACCTAAAACCTCCTCACCATAAATTATTTGACAATTGACATTGATACGACCATAGATATATGTCTACGTCTATGAGTAGTACCCATAGGTAGTACCACTGACTACAGAGCAAAAAGTTTTTCTAAGTGTCTAGACACACGGTAATTTTAACGGAATACTACGGATATGACTAACATACCGTGTAGTTAAATAATATCGCTAGCTTCATCTGTTTGCTAAAATAAAGTTAAAAATAGGAGAATTAATTATAAAAGTCAAAGATAATCATGTTACCTACATACACAGTGTTATTTATCTAGAGTATGATTATAGTTATAAATATGGAAAATGAAAAAATCTTAATAAAGGGAATACTTATATAGTACTGAATTGTTGTGAAGTTTAACAACACTCCTTATTATTGCTTAATTAAGAATATTCTAAAATAATAAAATAATTGATTTTCAAAGGTCCTTATTCGTTCAACGTCTTCTTCAAAATGAAATGCTGAGGAATACTTCTTTTCTACAAATTCAATAGTTATGTAGATTGTTATTTTTTTACTTTAATTGTTCAAGACTTTAAAAGACAAATTATTTAGATGTATCTGATTCGTTCAAGAAAGTTTAATAATAAATGAGCTAGTCGCCCAGTAACGGTCGGGGAAAAACGAATATGAAGTAATTACTAATTTCTTCCAATAGACCTTACCCATGATCCGTAGGTCTGTACCCGTTAGAGTTCTAATACGTAACCTCGTTTGGTAAAGCTACTGACGATGACGATGTTTTATTTGTTTGAAACTGCTTGCCTTGCCAACGGGCGGCAGTCTAGCTATGCCAGTTCTATTCACGGTCGATGCAGTAACTTCTTTCTTAATTTATATTTGTTTCTCTTTTGATAAAATTATATAATCAGTATTTTCTGGTAGATTTCGTACTCATACAATTTTTGAGGCATTTTAATGAAAAAACCTAGACGTTTCTTTATGCTGCCATTTTCACAAATAAAATTATTACATAATTCACGTTTGCCATGGGCTGTGCCAGAGAGACTCGTAATTAGAATTCATTCAGAAATATGCCGTTTTTGAAAGAGACTGTACAAAGTCTTCATTATGCATTGTAATAAGAAAAGGTTCCTTTTATGTAAAAAAAAGAAATAATGCCTTCAGGCTGGCGAAATTCTGAATATAATAATTGTAAGGTATCATATTCTTTAGTCAGGGTTAATTCTACAAGAAGAGAAGAAATACATAGAAACATACGTATATGTATGTGTATTCCGTTCATATCTCGTGGACCGCAGGAATAATGCGGCGTGTCAGCCGAAGGGCATGGGCGAGATGCCCTGGGGCACAAATGGGTGTGTTGTAAAATATGAGCGCCCCAAGGTACGGTCTGTTGTTCTCCGTTGTTATACGGCGGACGAATTGTTCCTGGGGCATTTTTAAATTCCATTCCATTCCGAACCGCATTGCAAGCTCTCTCTCTTGTTCTGTTTGAAAGCTGATAAAAAAATTTATTCGCCTCGGGCTTTTTAGATATTTTAAATAAAGGGTACCTGAGAATAACAAATTTTATGTAAGCTTCTTACACAGGGCGTTTAAAAATTCTTTGAAATCGGTCTTCTAATAACATTATACTCCTCACGGCACGAATTTTTTGTTGTGTAATTTTGTCTAATCATAAGTTTGCAAAGTGTACGAAATTTTCGTTATTAAAATTAAATCGAATAGTCAATTACTATAATGAAATTGATTTGATTTATTCCCTTTTATAGCTTGTGCATCGTGAACACTTAGCGTTAAAGTTTACTTGTCTTAGTTTTATAAATTTTACCGTAAACTTTAAGAATTGGTTGTGATTAATTGTAATTATAAATTTTGATAGATTAGATTATGCTTCAAAAACCGTTGTCAGAATTATTTATTTTTTTTTTGAGGCAGGATATTTTAAAGTGATAGGTTCATGATGACATTATCAAAGTAAATCATATTTTTAAAAGTGGAGATTTTGGAACAAGACCATAATCATTTTTGAAATACAGTGTAAATACATTGCGTATAGTCTGCTATCTTCGTCTGATGTTTTTTGCTGCTGCAATGTTAAGGAGTTTGTCGTTAAATCGAGTGACGTTATAAAGAGTTTACACCGTATGTTTCGTCTTCAGTTTGAAGTACGTCTGATAATTTTTCGAATTCTAGGTAATTTTCATTTTTCGTTAAAGTTTATCGAGTTTTTTTTTTCAGTCTGAAATTCAGAAATTCTGACCGATTCTTTTTTTTGAAGAAGTCGACTTATTTTAGCTGCGAACGTGTTTTCTTAAGCGTTTTTCTTTCACAATCAAACTGAAATAGTGCTGGGTCTGGGATCACCTATTTATTGGTAATCTTTATCTTTTCTCCCTGGATATCCTCTCTATTGTAGTAAACGGCAAACAAGGAGATCAAGAAGTTTTCTGACGGCTACGGTTATACTTGTTCGAGTTCGACATTCTGAACAGCTTCAGGCGGCATAAAATACCTAGTTCCCTGTCCCCTCGTCAGCCTATTTTAGCCCCGAGTCCATCTGCGGCCGAATAGGTTCTCCATACATATCTAGGCTGTCGTATCTCTGGGCAATATTTGAAATAACCCGACTTGTTCCGCTCAGTGTACACTGTACAACAATACTTACTATATAGAAACGGTGATGAAAGAGAATAAGCGGAATCGCCTAAGGCAGTTGCAATCACCCCTGCTGTTGCTCGCCTAGAGCTTTGGTTAATTATTATAGCTCGTTCTACTGGCCACGTGTTTCGTACAGCCCGTTCCTTGGCTGAAATCATCGAATACAAAAGTGGATTTATCAAGTTCCTTTTCATGAACAAAGGAATTCAGAAAGGTTTTCTTCACGAAACTGCATTTCAGTCCATGGAAATTTCTACTGTCAAAATCAAAGAAAAAAAGCACTACTTGTAACTGTTTTATAACTATCTATTTTAAACGATCAAATAATAAATAAAACATTTTTTTTTACTCTAATCTTCCTTAGGGTTCCGTATCTCTTAAGGAAACAATTAAACCCTTCGCGCAGGTCCCTAGCCAAAGAGGGGGATGCTCCCCGCCCAATATTTTCTTCAGTTGGCTTTCTCATCCTGTGTTATTAATTAGGAAATATGTTAAAAATAGTCTTCTTTCATAATTTCGTGTCAAAGCGCCTGTAGGTAAAGCTGCTTGAGAATCTCGAAGATCATTCGTGTATACGGGTTGTAATAAAATTATAAAAGGGCATAGGGACCATAAAAGTAATAGCGGTCCTTAGTTCGATGTTCACAGAACTCTCGCAGGTAGCAGAAATTACCATTACAGTATCATCAAGAAATCAAACTTCCAGTCAATATTTCGTGTCATATACCCTATACTAAGTTGGTTACTAGAATACAGTGGTACATCAATAACGACCTGAGGGGATAATTGGTAAATCTGTTGTGGTACGCAAAAATACCAAGATATCGAATAAAGGAAGCCTTCAACATTGTAGACGCAATATATATTATTAATAGAACCAGAGAATCCCTTATTTATAATAAGGCAAAATGAGAAGACAAGATGTATTTCTAAATCTAATAGAAAATGCCAAAATTTTTGCCAGAAAAGTTAAAGTTAATCCAAAACAGGTTTTTCAGACGTCATCGGAAACGAATAATTTCCACAAAAATTGATAACCGTGAATCCAATGCAGCGAGCTTTGATGTAAATATGTTTTATAGAAAAGAATTTTTAAGCGTTTAAGATAAAATTACAAACTCTTTACAAGATAAATTCAAAATGGTTGTAGAACGTTTGAATCCTATCTCAAACATTCTCACAAATCCTTTAGACAGAAAGATATTACAAGTGAAAATACTGAAAATACGCAGTTGGAGATATTATTTGATATATGCTCTTTTATATAAGGCATCATGAAGGTAGCTGCTAGATATAAAACAGCTATTGGGGAAATTTTTCGTTTTTGTCAGCTAATTTTACAGCGAGCTTTTCGGTGGTTTCGAACGAAAAAAAAAATTAGTTTATATTTCAATTCTATAAAAATTTTTAGAGATGTAGGATACAGTAGTAATAATATAAGAAACAAGGCAGGGGTCATTTTGATAGAAAATGAGGAAAAGGCAGATAGGTGGAAAGAATATTTAGAGAACCTTTACGCAGGCCCTGAGTTAGGAGATATATTAG